GAAGATTACTATATGATTGCTATAGTTGGGCTCGTTGGTTTTGGGAGTATTGTGCGTGCCACAGCCCTTGATTGACGTTCCCATCCCCGGGGGGAATGTCTCAAACCCTAAACCCTAATCCAACCAACCCCTAAACCCCTAAACCCTACTCACTTTTCTGGAAGGAACTTAGGGGCGTTGCGCTTACATAGGGTTCCAGATACGGACCGCCGGATTGTAGCAGAGAATACTTGCCGCCTATCTTTGTTTTTTGATGTTGCTTCGGGTTCATGAGGATTTGACCGTTGTAACGTGGGCTCGGCCTGTCCATGATAATATGGTATTTTAGTAATATAGTAATACAATAATCAAATACCTATTGTGCCTGATTTCCTTCCCCTCAAGCTGCGAAACTTGATATCATCTCGCGGATGAGACTCGCAAACTTCAATTACTAACCCTCTCCTTTCTACACCCTGATGACCCTGTGCCTCTCATGATCTTCTTAATTTGGTTGCAAGCGACCTTGCGAACATATTTTGCTACTCTAGAAATTTGGTCTTCAATGGCACTTTGGGAAAATTCATGTCCCTGGTTGTTTCATTACCCAACCCTGTTATGAGGAATCTTGAGTACCTTGAAGGACCAATCCACAACCCAAAACCCCACCCCTACACGGTATATACCGGCATATACACATATACTTCACCAATACATCCCTAAACCCCTAAACCCTAAACCCCTAAAACTTAAACCCTAAACCCCTAAAGCCTAAGCCTTAGACCCTACACCCTGTAAAAGACCTGTAAAAGACATTGTCAACCTTAGACCAAGCCATGGAACCGAACTGCTGAGCTAGCATCCCTATCCCAGAAAGTCCATGGGGAAGTTCCCCAAAAATTGGGGGACTCTTTTCGGGGGTCCCCATCATAAGGATTAGGGTTTGGTGTTTAGGGTTTTGTATTATCGCTGGGGCTCTAAGTCTATAAATAAGGGGCTTTAAGCCTATAGATAATGCATACTTGCACTGGGCCCCAATGTTTAAAACTGTGCCTACATGGAGCCTTAGGGTATAGGGTTTAGGGTTCGGGTTTAGGGTAGGAGAAAAGTATTTGCTTCGGGCCCAAAAGGGTTCCCATATGGCTACTTCAAGGCCCAAGTAGACTCCTTGGGACTTAGCTTGGACCTTAGACACTTCCCCTATACTGCTATTATAGGTACCTAAGGGTTATACCTTAGTAGGGGTCCTACGTGCCACCTAGTATATACAATGTAGCAACTTTTGAGTACGTACTGCACCTCCACGTCATCATTCCAAGGCTACGGTTTTGGGTGTTGGGTTCGTAGGGTCCCTATAAGGAGCTGTAATTACATACATGTCTTTGGTGTACAGAAGGATTATGTAAGGGCTATATAGGGGTTATATATACATGTATGTAGACATCAGTAGATAGGGTGTAGAGTTTTGGGGGTTCGTGTTATCTCTGGGCTTCAAGGCTTTTCCATGCTCGCACATTCGAATCCCAAGGCACTGCTATGATGATAGGTGCCAGCCCCTAAACCCTCTAAACCCTGAACCAGGGACAGGATGATGCTGATAGCACAGCAGCAGGAGCGGAAGGAGTATGTCGGTAGCAGTGGCAGTAAAACGCTACCGTGGTAGTAGTAGCCGTCGTCCCGTTTGGGGATGAATTTCACGGGAAATTCTAGGGGCTCAACAAACGGCGATTTCTGTCCTAGAGGTAATTGAAAACGGAGCCATTTTCCGGCTTTTCTAGATTTCCTTCCCAATAGCTCGCCTGCAGTCTAGATCAGCCTAGCAGGTAAGAATGAGTTGAGATTACCTGCGTTCCCCAGTGAGGCCCTTTCCCAATTTTTGGGCCTTAGACCCCTTTTCAAAACAACCCAAAAGACAAAAGTAGCCCGTTGTTGCCCCTTTAAGTTCCTGGGGAAGCTAGGTACTATGCTGGGTTGCTGTTAAGGAACTTAATTTAAGTCACTATACTGGGGAACCATTTCAATCACTATATATACCCATTATGGTAGCTCTATTTACGTTCCTTAACAGCAACCCTAAACCCTCAACTCCTGTTTCCATTTCATGTCCATTTTATTTTCCATTTGATTCTCCATTACAGGGGGATAATATGGGTTTATTCAAGTTCCTGAACAGCAACTCAGACTATGCTGTAGGAAGATGGGTTGACGTAGGGAAGCCTAGAATACCATCCCCTCCCCGAAATGAGCCCACTGTCAATATTAGCTCAATATTAGCCTACTTATGAAGGGTTTAGGGATTAGGGGCTTAGGGGTTAGGAGTTTAGGGATTAGGGGTTTAGAGACTAGTGGTTTAGGGTTTAAGGATTTAGGTTTAGAGATGTTCCTCAAAAATCGAGAATCAATTGGAACAGAAAATGGAAAATTAAATGGAAGCTAGGGTTATATAGAGGTGCAGAGTTGAGGGTTTATAGGAGCTACGGTCAATATTAGGCTGAGTAAGGTACCCTGCATGTTGGACATAGGGGGTTCCTCTTGTGTTCTAGTTTATTCCCTGATATAGTCCCGAACAAGGAGCCACTGTCCAGTAATTATTTGGCTAATATTGATTGTAGCTCAAGTAATGACCCCAACCCCCCCACTTGGGCTTATGCTTCTACTTATAACACATCTGCGTTGCCCCATGTAAAGAGTAGGGTAACAAGCCAAGCTGCAAGCAGTTACCAAGTCCCATGAACCCTCAAGTATATAGTTTCCCGTCTTAAACCCTAAACCCTCCTCTTTCTAAGGCCCTCAGCCCTAAACCGTCCTCTTTGTAGGGTTTAGATTTAAGGCCTTGCATAACTTCCAGGCTGGTATCACATGGGTGAGGACGCTTGGAATCGCGAGTGCATGCCGTGCACAGCGGGCTGCAGCCAATGCTTGGGCCTTGGTCCTTTCAGGGGTAGATTGGTGGGTAGGCTATAGAGGAGAATTACCAGTCTGTATATAAGTATATATTAGTGAGATGTCCAAATGTACATACGTACATATACACCCTAAGGTTTCCAGTTACCAAATAGTAGGCTATCGGGCTATCTGACCATAGGGTATACAGATCCCAGAGCCCGTTCTTAGGCAAATGGTTCCCTGAGGTGTATATATATATATACCCTAAACCCTGAACTCTAAACCCATAGAGTAAGTTTCCTGTGGTGTCTAGGATCTACAGTTTGATTGTTTTCGGCTTGCCTAGAAGACGGGTCCTTCTTATGGGTGAAAGAAATTGCTACGTGAACTTAGTGCGGGTTAGTCGAGAATATAGGATTTAGGATTCAGGGGTTGAGGCTGAGGGTAGAGAATAAGAGAACACATTATATAAGGGTTATGTGGGGATGATATCCCTTGTTCCCTACTATGTACCAGTAAGGGAAGTTCTTCAAAGGATGCATGTGCTGGGATGTGATCCTTTGATGTTCTTGATGTTAAGGGTTTAGGGCTTAGGGGGACTCGGATGGAGGAAATCCTGTGCCAGTTATGCAGCCCCAAGAATGGTATGTACAATACCTTGAGGATACTAGGTGGCACAGGATTTCCTTTTTTGACCTATAGCCTTGTATTGGGTGGAACGTCTAGAGGGTTTGGGGTTCAGGACTGACAACGCGTTCGTAATGCTAGGCAAGGACCCGGACAATGTTGAAGTACACAGGGTTTGGGGATGTTACCCCAAGAATATGGAATCAAACCGACAAGCAAATTGAATACAAAATGGAAACTGGCGTATACAGGGTGTTCTAGGGATACTTACCTATGTGTTTCTCCTGGATGGGTTGTACAAGCGTGTACCTCAACTTGATTTCGACATGATGTTTGCAATGTTTTAGGCTCCAGAAGTATGCAATGCCTTGGGCTTAGTAGTCGTGAGGTAAGCTCACAGCGAAGAAGGTTCTGGCAACCCTGACCCCTATAAGGTGAGGGTGGAGGGTTTAGAATTTGGGGTTTAGGTCTCTAATTTGGGATTGTTTCGCCAAAATTGCCTTGAGACACAATATCACTCCTAGTCCCGAATTCCCATTCCAGTTGGCATTGCATTTCCAATTTCATGTTCACTTGCGTTTTCCATTTCAATATACATGTTTACACGTGATTCTCCATTCCTGTGGAACCGCTCCCAAACCCTAAGCCCTAAACCCCAAACCCCTAAACCTAAACCCCAAACCCATACGCCCCTAAAGCCCAAACCCCTAAACCCTAATACTTTACCCTAAACCTTAAACCCTAAGCCCGAAACCCGCGGGGCTATCTGGGGTTGGGGATGCTTTGGAGTCACCACTTCACAGGGTCGAGGGTGTAGGTTTTAATTTAGGGTTTGGTTTAAGACTCTAGACTTTACGGCTTTAGGGCCTTTGGTCTGTGGCTTTAGGGAACAACTCGATTTCATAGGTACCTCTTCGTGAAGGTACAGAGGCGTCCCTCCTGTTATAAGTGCGGTTACTTGGGGTTTAGGGTCTAGGGCGATGTCTTGTTTGGAGCCTTTTGAAGTTGCGGTTTCGGCAAATGACTTCCGCATCTATCTCACTGTTGGTAGCAGTCCCAGCGCAACAGAAGTGGCCCCCTAGCTACAGAGCCATTCCCGTGACCCCCCACAACTACAACTTACTCTAGGGGTCCAAGTACCCAATAATTAGGTACTTGCGTTTTCTTAATAGTAATTGTAGTACAGGTTTTGGGTAAGTATATGATTATTGGGTACTTGGACCCTTACAGTTATGGGACTCATGACCAGACTTATCCCCCAGATTAAGCCCCAAGCATCCATCAGCTCCCGAAAGTCTAACTCGAAGGCTGTATCTGATTTCCTGGACCCCAGAATTATGTAGAATAGTTTAGGGTTCTGGACCATGATATTACCTAGTTTTGGGGTTCGGGTTATTCCAGGAAGTCGTTGTAAAGCCTGTCAGAATCTTCGCAAAGCGCTTTTCCCGCATGACACCTCTCTTGGAAACCCCTATCCTGGACTTCTAGATTACGGTCGGGTTTGCCAGGCACCGAACAGCACTTCTGCACAGAGTGTAAGGACTTGCCGGGAAAGACTCGGTTCTTGGGGGGTTAGGGTTGGTATTTTGGGGATTGGGACTTAAACCCTAAACCCTAAACCCTAAACCCATTGGGGTTTGGGACTGCAGCTTAGGGTTTTCAGAACCTTAATTAGTAGGTATAACCCATAAAACTGTAGGTTATTGGGGTTACAGGTAGACCCCTAAACAGACACAGAACCTTCCAACCCTGACCGCGAAAAGGATGTCGATCCCTAGAAATCTACGTCTTCTGTGAGACCAAGTTTACGTAGGTCCGGAAGCTTCTCCCTAAACCCTAAGCCCTAACACCTAAATAGTAGTTTCCATTTTCTTGTCCATTATCCCCAATATAACCCCAATACCCTAAACCCTAAACCCTAAACCGCCGATTCTGGGACTCCCCGGGTTACCTGATAAGGATGCACTGAACCCTAGAAATGGCACCAAAAGAGCTACAATCTAAACTCCTTAAAGGGGTCGATTTAGGTGATCATATAGGAGAGTATAATAGGGGATTAAGGGGGGTACTGGGAGTTTAGACTATAGCTCATATAGCTGAAGTGCCGCTCTGGCCCACTCGGATCTCTATATGGTAGTTTCCCAAAATAGGGGGACCCCAATATAGACCCCAAGATATTATAGTCCTTATTATGGGGACCCCCAATAAGGTACCCTTAATTTTGGGAAACCCCCATATTGGGTGACCGTTTTATTTTGGAGCTCTCGTCCAGCTCCATCGTGCGCTGTCCAGGCATAGGGTTCAGGGTTGATAGGTGTAGGATTTAGGGTTTAGGGTTTAGGGTTTAGGTTTAGGATTTAGAGTTTAGGGTTTAGGGGTGGATCTAGGGTTAGGAGCCTATTCCAACTAATCATCTAAGCCCCTCAGTTATGGACTCTTAACGAATAACAAAAGCCTTGAACTGTTGCAGTAACTCCTAACTCCGTAGAACTTGGTCGTAGCAAATGAGTTAGTCGTTGTTCAACCCTACCTAAACCCCAAAAGTATGTAAAACAATAGCCCTAAAAACCCATAATAACAGCCCTAAAGGCCATTATTTTACATACTTATGGAGTCCAGGTACTCCTAATCCTGTTCTCCAACTCCAAGTCCCTAGGCCTGAAATGCAAAGCCTCTCTGAGCAACAAATCGCAAAGAATCCAAGGCCCTGAAACCTAAACTCAAGATAACTCAAGTAGGTACCCCACCATCTAGATATACATATTTTGCCTGTGCACACACACATGCCCATACAGTTTTGAGTTCACTCTCCCTGTTTGATCTTCAGTCTGATCCTTGAAGTCGTATTCTGGGCACAAAGGCTCTACCCTTGCATGACGCGTGTTTTTTGTTGGTCATACGAGGTATTTGAAGTATGGACTGTGGATTTGTGCCGGAGGGTTTCTGACTGTAAAACAAGAACACATTCGCCAGAACGATAATACACCCCGAAACGTGGAAAGCGAATATGCGTTCACCAACTCCCCAATGAGCATTACAACCAACTATCGAAAAATACAACCATGCGTCATTTAATTCCTTTACAGGCTCTAGAAGCCATTCAAGCCGCTACACAATCACAGTGTTCTATTTGATGCTCCATGGTACTTTTCATACGATTCTCCGTCGATGACGCTATCGCTGCAAGTTGCCTACGTCCTTCAGGCTGTATCTAGGCTTTGGCGATGAAGGAAATCCAGGTGCTTCCCATGACTTCGCAGAAAAAAGATGCACGTCGAAACAGTTGCAACATCACGACGCGTAAGGAGTATTTTCCCGAGGCAAGCCGTCCGAGTGGTGAACATCACGACGTGTAAGGAGTAATTCCAAGACGCAAGTCCAGCTGGTGAACAGGACATTAAGGATCAAGTGCTGGAGGCATTCGTCACATGTGATGCAGACCATGCACCTGAGCCAGCGAGAATCATGTCGCTAAAGACTCTGCTGGCAATGCCTCGATTTGTGCAAGAGGAGATTATTGGCCCTCGCGGCCAAACGTTTGAAAACGCGGAGTTTAGTATAGCCCCTTGTATATACCCTAAGAAGGAACCCATGTCCATCAAATTCTGTAGGAGCATTGATTGTAGATCATGTAACCCTAAATCCCTAAGCTTTGTCCTTGTCCCTGAGGAGGTCAAATTTCCAGACTTTGGGGCCCACTGTCGTTTCTTGTAAACGTAAAACCACAGAGAAACCTAAATCATAAACTTTAAACCTTAAACCCTACACCTTGAACCTCAAATCTTAAACCCTCAACCTTAGTCCCCAAATCCTAACTCCTAGACCTTAAACCCTAAACCCTGAGCCTCTAACCCTAACCCTCAACGCTAACCTGATCCATAGGCCCTAAACCTTAAACCTGAAACCTTAACACCCTAACCCCTAAACCCTAATCGCTAAACCCCCAACCCTTAAAGCTTAAGCCCCACTCCCACTATATATACCCTATGATGCGTATATAAACCCTATAGAATCCCGTATAATCCCAGTAGTTTCCATTTTCTTTTCCATTATCCCAATATAACCCTACACTACCCTATAAATCCTAAACCCCTATATAAGCCCTAAATCCTAAACCCTATATAAACCCTATATAAGCCCTGTATAAATCCATTGGGGTCCTAAAAGTTCCCCCTAAACCCTAAAGCTCTATCCGGGCGGGCGCGGGAGGATGGCCTCTTCCTCACGCCCGACGGGACTTGCTCGTCAGCCTGTCCGGACCCCTTGGGACGTTTGAGGGTTGCAACAGGCTGAGGGTTTCGGGGTGTGAGATTGGGGATCCTAGGTTTGGGGTTAGGGTTTGGGGTTCAGGGTTGAGGGTTTAGGGTTCAGTGTTGGAGGTTCAGGGTTTGAGGGTTTATGGCTTAGGGCGTGATTTTCGGGGCTCAGGCTCAGGGTTTTGGGCAGTAGGGTTGAGGGTTGGGTTTTAGGTTGGTTTTTGGGGGGGCTTAGGGTGTTGGGTTTAGGGCTTGGGGTCTAGAGTTTAGGATTGAAGCTTTAGGGGCTGTTCATAGGGAATGGAAAGGACCATAGTAACCATTCAGGTTTAGTGTTTGGGTGATTTGGGATTTAAGGTTTAGGGATTAGGGATTTGGGGGGTTAAGTTTTGGAGGGTTTCGGGAGTAAGGAAGAATCAACATTTAGGGCTGCGGATTTCAGGGTTTAGCGGATTCAAGGTTTAAGGTTGCAGGGTTTAGGGTTTTGAGTGTAGGTTTCAGGGGTTAGCTTTTGGCAACGGTGGGCGCAGAGGTTCTGGGCTTTGGTGGCGATTTTTGCATTGAAATGCAGACTTCGAGGGTGTTGTTGTGGAGATGTGTGTTTTTTTTCGAAGTTGATGTACGGGCTAAAGCCCACATCCTCATCCTGAACCCTGAATCCTGAACCCATGTCCTACCCTACATAACCAGTTACCTGAAGTGGTATAGGGTTTAGGGTTTAGGGTGTGGCTACTGGGCTATGTAACCATGGGGTTTATAGAACCCAGAACCCGTTATTTAGGTGGCTGGAGCTCTGGGGTATATGCATACCCTGAACCCTAAACCCTGAACCCTGAACCCTAAACCCTAAAACCCAAACCCTAAACCCTAAACCCCAAACCCTAAACCCCAAACCCTAAACCCATCGAGTTCAAGTTGCTTTTAGTATTTGGGTAAATTCGGTCCTTGACGCCCTGACCTATGGAACACCAAGCCTACGGTTTAGGGTTTAGGGGCTCATCCTCTTTGAAAGTGACCTGGAACCCCCCACAGGGGCCGTAAAAATCGCATGGACCGGTCTCCTTTGAAGAGGCTTACGTGGGCTTCCATGTCAGCGTGTTAGAGTTCAAGGATCTAGGAAGTCAGGTCTAGGATTTAGAGCTTAGACGTTTGTCTTTGGCTTTCAACCTTTTCCCTTAACCTTTTTTGTCCATGCAAACTTCTTCTGTAAGCCCTAGAAGCCTGTTGAGCGGGCCCCGTAACCATTACAAGCCTTTAAGCCCTGTAAGCATGCCCAAGTGTCCCTCAGAAGCTCCGTCAGGCACGCTTATATGCTTCGTTGTAGAAGCTCCTCAAATCCTAGACTTTGAGGTCCTGACGGTTTCTTCCACCTTCCCGGCGAGGGTGGCATCGGTGGCGTGTGTCAGCCCTTGGGCTTCTATTCAGCTATAGGCTTAGGGTTTAGGGTTTAGGGTTCCGTAGCTAAATAACGAAGCTTGCGAACCCCCTGCAATGGCCTTACAGGGCTTTCACACGAGTTTTACAGGATTTTAGGGACATGTGGCATATCTAAGGCGTGGGGATGAAAAATTCAGTTTCTCGAAATGGGAACCCTCTCTTTGGTATCCTCCGCAGAAGAATGTGCACAAAACCCATAAATAAACCACTTGGGCTTCATGTTCTCCTTATTCAATTTGTGAACCAACCTATATACAACTGCGAGTCTCGCCCCTGCAGGTCTAAGGGTATGGGGTTTTCTAGGTAGGAAAGCACTCGAGCAATAATCAGGTTCTACAACCTGCCACCCCCCTAAAGTAGTAGTTATCATGGATAGCAGCGGTTTAGGGTTAGGGCTATCTACCCTGTAAGCCTTAAACCCATAGATTTGTTTTGCAAAATACCTACCTAGAGGGGTCTAGCATAGATGTTTTGCGTGGAGACCAGCGCTTGACGAAGTTGATGTCTTCGAGGGTTTTGGGCTTATGGAGTCAAATGACCAGCCCCTGAAATCAAACAGCCTCTATACTCTATACATTACAGTATGCCACAATGGGAAACTTCAATGTTAAGAGTTTTAATATCGGGAGGGGATTACGTTTTCTGAGACATCTTGTGAAAATCATGACAATGAGATCGGGACTGCTGGATTTTTGTTCTTGAGAGCTCAGACATGTGAGACTGACCTGGAAATCCTAAACCCTAAATCGCGCAGGACTCCAGGGAATGTACAAGCTTCAGGGTGAAATTGGACCTGCGCAGTGCTAGCGTCCGCTTAGGATGTAGCAATTGAGCATAAAACAGCCTCTACATGATCCTTGGGAAGGGCTTTAGCTGTTCCTCTTAAAGTTCTTGCATTTCTGCAGCGGGCAAGTGCATCCGAATGTTGAGCAAATGCGGCTTATGCCCAGACTCCAGGCCCTTATCCCTCTTGATTATTCGTTTGGCAGTGGGCTCTGCCAAACAAGGAGATGTTCATTATGGTCTTGTCTGTTCTATTGTCGACTGTTCGTTCAAGGTCCTATTACTCTATTCTGCAGCTGCCATGCGCTAAACAGGTAACCTATGAGCGGGCTGGGTAGGCTTTAGGGTTTCGGGAGTGGCAAGCACCCTAAACATGACCATCCACATTGCCAACATCAAGAAAGGTTTTGATTGTACCTTCTCGACAGACGTGCCTAAACCCTGAGCCCTAAAGCCTTCATCCCAAATATCCCGTACATCTGTGGGATCTCTGGAAACTGCCCCTTCTGAGAAACATTCATATCGTCTTAGTTACAACAGGGAGTGATTATGAGTCCTAGTTTGCCACCCTAAACTCCTAAGCAGTAAACCAGGATTCAGTGGTCGGGGTTGACACAGTCTGCGATCTTCAAAATCATAGTTGCATTATCTTAAGGGTCCAAGGAATAATAGGGTTTAGGGCCCAAATATCAGAATAATTAATGGTATAGGGGCCCTAAAGCCCTGTTATTTGGGTCCTTGGACCCTCAGCATTAGAAGATAGCAAGAAGCACGTGACCGAGGTTCAGGCACCGGAAAATTAGGCTTCAGCTTCAGGGGGTCCTAAACCCTAAGGACTTTTGGAGGGACCCCTAATAGGGACCCTTGTTGCTTCTGGGGATTAATATGGGGACATGCTAGGAATATAGGGGTTGTATAATGATTATATAAGGGTTATATATGGTAATGGGATTGAGGGTCCCTAGTAGGGGTCCCTCCTAAAGTCCCTAGATAAACCCTGAACCCTTAACCCTCAACCCTACAGTACAATATCCCCCACAAGCTGAGCGCACCTGGCACCGGCCATCACTAGACCCCCAAATTCGACCTCAAGCCTCAAGTTCTCACCTTAACCCCCAAGGTATGTCGAATAACCTAAACCCTAACCCCTTCTGGGCTAGGTTAGGAGTTTCAGGCCACCAGTTTACCTATTCTTGGGGGGTTCGGGCAACCGAAGGTTTAGTATCTATGGGTTTAGTGCATTTCCTTTCCTCAGCCGCCCCTTCCCGATTGCATCCAAGGCGCTGTGCGGAGAACTGCACCAAGCTCTTCGATTCGTCTAGGGTTTAGGTCTCAAGGTTTAGGGTTCAAAGTGTTGTGGATATTTCCCTAAAGCCTAAACCCTTAACCCTCAACTGGGTGGTCACGCTTGAGTGTTTAGCCTGTCCTTGTTTTGCCAGCTGGCAAATCCCAAACATGGGGGGCACCCACCTGGGCACCCATAATGTTTAGGGTTTAGGGTTTAGGGTTGGTATTTTGATTTTCTGAAACTTCAAGGTGTGCCCCTGCCTTAGGTTGGAAGTAGAGGAGGATAGTATACGGGAACTGGTAGTAGGGGAACCCATGATCTGCTGAAATTATCAAGCGGAAGTTGATCGAACATGCCTTTTGTAGCCAAGCGTCCGGTATCCGTATTATGTAAACCCACTACAGGTGGATCCTTGACATGTGGGCAGTTTCCGGGGTACTCGCATGAGGATTCTTGTCAGATACCTTGTTATGGACCTTATGGGAGGGCTACGGAAGGACCACGGGAGACTCAGCGCCTACGCCCCTGTAAAGTAGCACTTGTAAGTGGCTTCTCAATTAGAGACATTCAACGTGCCCCCCGGATCATGGCACCCTGACCTTTGGACATTAATTATAGTCCCCGAAGAGAGTACGTTCATATGAGCTGTAGTCGAAGCTCCGTAAAAGGGGTTCTGTCAATAGAGGATGATATAGGGGAGTATACGGGTGATTAAGGGGGATACTAGGAGTTTAGACCCTAAACCCTAAAGCTTGGTTCAACTATCACAAGCAGCATTCATCCAACAGCTCGAATAACTGTTAGGGTTAAGGGTTTAGGGGTTTAGGGTATAGGGTTGAAGGTTGTTTTCGACCTTTTTATATTTACGGGGTGAGATTCCGTCATTCAAGCCAAGCATTTAGGCCGCTACAGTACTCATGTGAGCGACTGTCAAATTATTAGGCTTATCAAGGGTTAACAGTTGTGAACATAATAGTTTTTGTTGTACTTTAGCATAGTCCGTAAATATAGTCCTTAAACAAGGACCCAGGTCCACTAAATCATGTATCAAGTGTATCCCAAACCCTAAACCCTAAAACCCTTAACCTGAACCTGTGAAACTATGTAGGAAATGCTGACTGTAGCTCATGAAACCTCTGAACCCGAAACCCTAAATCCCTAAACGCTAAATCCCTAAACTCTAGGCCACCCCTAAACCCTAAAGCCTATATATATATATCCCTGTAACTCCATATGACCCCGAGAAAACCCCTATATCCCTTTCAAAGGAACCCTAAGCCCCACGAGGTGCGACTGGTGGGACAGCTGTCAGGAATGCAAAGCTTCGCGGTATCTGACACACTACCACTGGTGCACAGAGGAGAGGTTTGCAGGTAAGTCCCCCCCAAAAAGGATAAGGATTATGTAGGGTTTATGCTTAAAGGTGTAGGGATTTAGGGTGTAGGGTTTAGAGTCTAGGGATTATGGGTTTAGGAGCTCAGGGGTCCACTGGTGCACAGAGTAGAGGTTTGCTATCATTACTGTTACGTACTGTTTGTGGAATATACTAGGATTATGATCAGAGTTGCTATTTCTACTATTACCATTGGTGCACAGAGGAGAAGTTTAGGGATTAGGGGTTTAGGGTTTAGAGGTTTTGGGTTTAAGGGTCTAGAGATTGGGTTCACGGTCAGGGTGGATGTGCAGGTCCTCTCGGGGAAAAAGTTAGGGATCTTGTAGGCTTATAAGGAAATAGTATAGGAGAAATTATGTTGCGTAATGACTCTTTGGGGGAACAGGAATGTTGATCAACGAGCTTATCAGAGCATGGTCGGCTTTATAGGGTCTAGAGTAACCCAGACCCCTGATTAATAAACTTCCTCTCCAGGTCCTTAAAAGCAGGGGGGTTTATTAATCATGGGTCTACATTAAACCCTAAATAGTAGCTTCCATTTTATTTTCCATCATCCCAATATTACCCCAATATAACCCTAATATATACCCCACAGAATCCCTATAATCCACATAGTTTCCATTTTCTTTTCCATCATCCCTATCATGGGTCTACATTACGCAGAGGCGAGGCGTAAGCTTTATACTACAGTAGTATTTCACGGCTTAGGGTTTCGGGCTGAGGGTTAAGGGGTTTGGCGAATGCAGGCTTTGGTGTTTGGGGAATAGAGGCGGTTTTTGGTTGTAGGGTTTAGGCATCAGGGTAGGTGTGGAATTTGCGGGCTTTAATGTAGACCCCTGATTAATAAACTTCCTCCCCTTAATAGGAATTATAATAGGCATCCTAATACTAAGGCCCTTGAAAGGAGGGGGTTTATTAATCATGGGTCCTCGTTAGGGTTCAGGATTGAGTTGGGGTTGGGATTTGGGGCTTCTGAACTTTCAGGCTGTATTGTGCAGGGTCAGGTTCATCATGGTTCATCCCTTTCAGAACAAAACCTCATCGCTCCGTTGGCACTCAACACTTTTAAGCCCTCACCACTAACTCCACGGACTACCCTAAACCTTGCACACCAAACCCGAAACCCTTGACCGCATACCTGCCGAGATCCAGAACCCTACAGAGGCGCAAAACCCTGCAGTAGGATGAATATTGCTTCAAGTCTCTGCAACTCATATAGAGCTTATAGCCCTAAAGCCAGATTCTGATTAGTTATGTCCCCGACAATCTCCATAAACCTCTGTACACCGCCACAGCCCACTTCTACTTTCCATGTCTTCCCTAATCCCCGACTCATCCTAAACCTTGAGTAGCTTCCATCTTCTTGTCCATTATCCCTACTCAATTTCCATTTACCCTAAGGCTCCTGGACCCCCATAATGAGATCCCAAACCTCAGCCCCCAAAGCCCAAACCTTCCCCAGAAAGCCCCAAATAGTCTGAGGAGCCTTAGGGTAATCCCTAAACCCTATACCCTAAACCTTAAAGCCTAAACCTTAAACCCTAAACCCTAAACCCCACATAATCCCTATAACGCTAACCTCTGACCAGGAGTGCCCCGACGGCTTCTACGAAGAGGGAGATGGCTCCTTGGCTATAGGGACCCTTGTAGCTTATTGGGGGTAATAGGGGTACTATCTGGTCATATAAGGGATATACGAGGCCTAAGGCTTTATAAGGTATTGGGATTAGGGGTCCCTTCACTGAATGTTCACATTCTTGAGACTCTTACACCCTAGAAGCCCAGGTACCAATATAGTAGGTCCTTGGGTTACAGATAGTATATAATTATATAGGGTCTTAAGGACAGGAGCCCAATATAGAGGTAACTGGGCTTCTAGGGGAAGGCCATGAGGATTCCCCTAAGTTCATATTCTTTTCAATGGCGTGGTTTCTACTACCCTAAATCCCAACACCTAAACCCTGAACCCCTTCTCTATTTTGGAAACACCAATTTGGCCGAGTCTCCAGGAGGTGGTTTCTGGCTGGAAAGGTGTCTTGCATCTTTTTTGTTAAGGAGGGTTGAGGTGTTTAGGGCTTAGAATTCCGCAAGCCAGCCAGGTTATCAGCCACAGTCCCTTATACTATCAAGTGAACCTACGTGAAGATGGCTTCTGTGGCATTCTTGCGTGGTTATACCTGCCACCAAATTAATGTGGAAGCAGAGAATCCCTTTTGTGAAAAACGGACACTTAACTTTGTAGGGCACTGGGGGTCCCATGCTTCTATGGGTGAGGGTAGCCCCCTAAATCTATATGTGCTGAAATGTGACAATATACCCCCCGTATGTCCCCTCGAAGGCCCTTTCCCCCACATTTTACTGTAGGGTTTCAGTTGTTACTCTGGGGAGGGAACTGGCCAGGTGGGGTACTCCAAGGTGTGATGCTGAGATTTTCAGGGCTCCGGAGCCTACGGACTCAACAAAGGGGTCTAGGGTTTTGGACCTGCAGGGTGCACGATTCCGGGTTTAGGGTTAAGGATTTTGATCTCATTTTCACAGCTTGCTACTTGGCATGCATGCCCCCTCCCTCCCCCCGCACCCTAAAGGCCCATTACCTCGTGGAACCTCTACCCTTGAACTTTTGGATTGGAGAATCCCCAACCCTGTACCCAAGCCCAGAACCTTAACAGGGTATATCAAGCAAACCATAGGTTCGCAATTAAAACGAATTAAGAATCCTAAATCTGTGGATGTTCTCTGGACAGGGGACTTCATCATTGATCACCCCTTTAGCAAACGACGTTTACATCAGGTAGATTGCCTCACGCGCCCCCCCCCTAAAGCACCAGAACTGGGAAACTGCTGATGGCTTTTGGTCATGCGCCACCCCAATGCGGGCCATGATGCATACAAATCCTTAACAACATCTTACAAATGGAGCCAGCTAACATGAGGTCGGCCCTCAACTCCCTAAACCTTGAACCATAAACCCTAAGTCCCTAATCCCTTGACCCTATATCCTATATAACCCTTATATACCCTATGTAACCTCTAAAAGCCCCTTGAAAGGAACCCCAAGCCCTAAACCCTAAGCCCTACCGAACACTAAGGAGAAGTTGGCAGACTCTGCCTTCAGTGCCCAGAGACCTGCAATCTTTGCGAGAGCCCTGCGCACTGTGCCATGGCACCAAGGGCTTAGGATTTAGGGTTTAGGGTTTTAGGGTTTAGGGCTTTTTACTGTGCCATGGCACTGAAGGTAATCCATACTGAAAAACACCACCCCCTAATGTTAAATGTTCCCGGTCTGTTTCGCCGTAACACAGTAAAAAGATTTAATACCATGGGGGGAGGTGGAGGGTTTTAGTATCAGCCCTAAACATATCATAATTCTATCCGTTTTCTTTGCAAGGGCAGTCCCTGTGCCCCTTTCAATTTGTTTGAAAGGAAATAGACCCAGAATGCATCTTAAGATTTCCAAATATCCTGAACGACCTCCTGAATAATGGGCAAAACCGCCGAGTGTAGGCTTCGCTTGAATTTTGGGTCCTGCCTAAGGCCCCAAACCTTACCTTATGGTTTAGGCCCCCAAACTAACATGGAAGCCCAAAACGGGCCACTGCTTTCCGTTTTCAAGGGTTTTTGGTGGGTTTCCATTATTTGGGGAATGTCAAACACCAATGTAGACCCATGATTAATAAACCCCCTCCTTTTAAGGGCTTGATATTAGGATCCCCATTATAATCCCTATTAAGGGGAGGGGGTTTATTGATCATGGGCCATGGGTTAAATCCCAAGTCCTGTCCCCTGAGCCGTTTGGGGTTCTGGGCTTAGGGTGTGGGGTTTGGGGTTGAAGGTTTAGGATGTGGCATTTAGTGCCTAGGGTTTAGGGCTGCGGGTTTAGGGCTTAAAGTTTTGCTACGACTGCCAGGTCTGTTTGGTCAGATGGAGCCTATTCCCTCTAGCAGGACTAAGGGCAGAAAGAAAGAAATAAAGTCAAACCCTCGGTTTAGGGTTCAGGGCTTCAGATAATTTTGGCAATCCTGCGCGCTCCAAAAACTGCGTAATGTTTACATTCGCATTTAAACGATACTATTGCTAAATAGCATATTCAATGCTATTTTTTCGAAATGGTCTTTACGGTCCTTTGTGCTGAATTTTAAAGAATGATTTCACAATTATGACGTGCATGGGCCGGAGACACCATACATGCTGAACCCCGAGCCCTTAGCTTCCCCCAAAAGGCCACAAGAAGCCATAGGGTTTAGGGCGAATACGTTACCCTATGGTTTCAGGGTTTAGGGTTGAGTGAGTGAGTGAGTGAGTGA